ACCCTGATTGCCATACACCACCAGGATCTATCCTTTTAATGTCTCTGGAGCCAGCTTTGGCTACACAACATGTGGAAGGGGGAGGGAAGCTGAATAAAACGTGTGTTCTGTTAAAAAGGAGAATGAGCAAAGGAAATACATGCTCTGAATGAAACCTGATCTTGCCCAGACTTAAACTAGCAAAGAGTTGCAAGTTCATATCTTTTGAGTGTATAGGCTTAATTTCATCCAGATGTTAGTTAACATCTTTATAGAAAGTCTGTCTTTCTATTAGGTCCTTTATCTTTCTTTAAAAATAAATAAGTGTAACACATTAAAGTTAAGATGGGTAGCATTATGTTATTTAAAAAGTGATTCTTGTTTATCTCTAGCATATAGATAATACAAACTGACAAATAATTTCTTTTTAATGTATTTTTACTTATTTAAATAGAGGTTATAGCATTCTCTAGACCTTTTGATACTTAAGAAAAAATAAACCTACAAGCGAAAGGACTTGAAGTTTGTCTTCTGTTTTCCCTCCTCCCTTTTCCTTCTCTTTTCCCTACTCCTTTTGCTTCCTTCCTGTTTCTCCCTGCCTTCTATCATGTTGAGATTGAAAAAAAAATGCTTAGCATGCTTTTCTGCCACTGAACTATATCCCTAGCTTTTGTAGTCTATTCTGTCTTCCTGTTTTTGTTATTTCATGTCTTTTTCTAGATATTGTCTCTCCCCACTCCTCCTTTAAAAAGTTTGCTAAATTTGAGAAGTATCATTCCATTATTTCCCACGTAGAGTTAGGTCGCTGCTGAATCACTCCTATACTTGGATTCCTCTATTCATTTTTCTTACATTTGATGGATTGGTGGAAGATAATGGAGGGATTTTGTTTTTATTTTTTATTATTTCTTTTTTTTCTTTTTTTGGGGTCTGGTTGTGGGGCCTGAACTCTGGGCCTGGGCGCTGTCCCTCAGCTCTTCAGCTCAAGGCTAGCGCTCTATCACTTGAGCCACAGCGCCACTTCCGGCTTTTTTCTTTTTGCTTATGTGATGCTGAGGAATCGAACCTAGGGCCTCAGGCATGCAAGGCAAGTGCTCTACCACTGAGCCACCTTCCCAGCCCCTTTTTTTTATTATTTCTTAAGGGCTAGTCCTGGTGCTTGAACTTTTAAGGTCTGGGCACTGTCCTGAGCTGCTTTTGCTCAAGGCTAGTGCTCTACTACTAGAACCACAGCTCTATTTCTGGCTGGTTTTTGGTTGTTGATTAATTGGAGATAAGAGTCTCATAGACTTTCCTGCCCAGGCTGACTTCGAACTTTTATTCTAGATCTCAGCTCCCTCCTAAGTGGTTAAGATTACAGGCGTGAGCCACCAGTGCCCAGCAATATTGGATTTTGAACTTAGGCTGTAGAGTGTGAAAGTGAAGTGACTAGCGTCAGCAAGATGTTCTATATATTCTCTACTTACTCAAGACAATAGTAGATGGGAGATTAATTTTGTCAGGTCTGGAAAATAGCTAAATTAAAAGTGTCCTCACATTGTCAATATTGTTTAAGTTTCTGGTTGTAGTTATTTGTTGCAGAGCTTTGTTAACAAAAAGTTTGAACAAAAACCTCCCTTTATCCTCTCACCACTGTTGTTAAAGTTTACAAATGCACATACGTCCCTATTTTTGTAAATCTTAGGCCCTTAAATAATGTCTTGAGTTCTGCTAAAATAAATCAAAGACCTCATATCGCTCCTGAGCTCAGCAGAGGACAGAGGTTGCTTAACTGGCAGTCATGTCATCAACTTCCCCAAGGGTTATCTGAACCAGAAGGACTTGCAGAGTAGCCCAAGTTCTTTAAAGAAACATCTGGACCTAATAATTAGGAAGAACTCCTTACTTGAAGCTCTTTGTGGGCATGTGGAGTTGTGTATTTGTCTGTTTTGCTTTGCTTGTTGTAGTATGTTGATTAAGGGTCTGTGCTTCAAGCAATATATTATATGGTAAGTGCTTTAAGCTAACAATATAGACAGCACTGTGGAATTTATACCTCCATTTTATTTTTTTCCTTAAGTCTAAGAAAATACAGAATGATATTTTTTTCAGTACTGCAAGTCCTAAGCAGTACTGGTCCTCTACTGATGATAGTTTTCTGCTTGGTTGCATGGTAAATGATGCATGCTTTTTCTCATGGAGCTGTCACAATAAGGAACACTTTTATCAACCCAGATGGAGCTTGCCAGCATGATAATTGTGTCAAAGCCACATGCTTGTCTAATGGGCTGGCTGTTCAACAGTGGTGTTCTTTTTTGCTTGATGATAAGTAAGAAGGTCTTTAGTATGTTATATAACTATACTAATAATGGATTTAGGGTAATTGTAATTAAAGATTACTGCCGTGAACATTGTTACAGTTTGGAAACTTTAGTTTGGCTCTGCTTATTTAACGTTATTAAATTAGGCAAATCTAGCTTCTGAGTCTGTTTCCTTGATAATAAAAGAAAATGAGGATACTGTACTAGATAATGCAATATTACTCATTCAGTAAATAATTACTGACCACTGTGTATGTTCCAATCTAGACAGTAGGAACTTAGTAGTAAATGAAAGAAAGATCCTAGCCTCATAGAGGTTTTCTTTTGTTTTGTTTTTTCCCTACTGGTCCTGGGGCTTGAACTCAGGGCTCCTAGGCACTGTCCCTGAGCTGCTTTTACTCAAGGCTAATGCTCTACCACTTGAGCCACGATTCCATTTTTCTGGGTAATTTATTGGAGTTAGTGTTGCAGACTTTCCTGACCAGGTTGGCTTCAAATTGTGATCCTCAGATCTCAGCCTCCTGAGTAGCTAAGATTATAGGCATGAGCCATTGGTGACCAGCTTCATGAGGCTTTTATTTTAGGGGAATTCTGCTGCCCAGCAGTGTCCATTTTCCTGTGTGATAGCGCTTAAGGCATGTGTATAACTCAAATGCTGAGGGTCATAACTGGTGCACTATCATTTTCTATATATGGTGGTAATTTGTTGAAGAAACCATTATCAAAAAATAAGGTAGCATTTGTTTTTAAGCTCTGCTTAGCTCTTGAAACTATTTTAAGAACATATATATATATATATATATATATACTTTTAATGGTTCATATTCACAATCTCAATTAGCTATTTCCATTGTTATCACTCTTGTACCTTTGAATTGAATGAGCAACATGAATCAACTCTGGAGTTCTTAAATACAGTGGAGGCTGAGCACTATTTTGTAAAGCTTCACTGTGGCTTATCAGTGCTCTCTCTGTTTTCACACTTTGTCTTTACCTTTGTCCATCAACCCAGTTTTGATTACATGGCCACATAATTTCACATGTAATTATTCTCTGTGATAGGGCTAATTTAGTAAGTTTTTTTTTGTTTTTTTGTTTTTGTCTGTCATGGGGCTTGAACTCAGGGCCTGGACTCTGTCCCTGAGCTCTTTTGCTCAAGGCTACCACATTGAGTTATGGCGCCACTTCCAGTTTTGTCACGGTTAATTGTAGATAAAAGTCTCATGGACTTTACTGCCTGGACTGGCTTTGAACTGTGATCCTCAGATCTCAGCCTCCTGAGTAGCTAGGGTTACAGGTGTGAAATCTGGCACCTAGCCATATTTCTTTTCAGAATGATAAAAATACTATCCAATTTTTTGAATATATTCAAAACCATTAAAAGTATATTAGCAGGATGAATTTTTTAATATGTGATTTGTATCTCAAGTATGCCTTTAAGCAGTTTTTCTTTAGGTTGTCTTTTTAAGCACACTCATATTTGTGCCGCTTTGGAAGACAGCTGTGGCATTACCCATTGGCTAGGATGCCAGTACTCAGAAAACTTCTCTCCTTAGGGAAGAGAAACAGCAAGCACTTGAAAAGTCCCTCTTGTGTAAAATATAATTGTGACAGTATAAATCATTAGATGAATTTTCTAGCCCTGTAAGCCCTGGGCTTTGTTTGCTTAAGGCTAGCACTCTACCACTTGAGCCACAGCACCGCTTCTGTTTTTTTCTGTTTATGTGGTACTGAGGAATCAAACTAAGGGCTTCATGCATGCTAGGCAAGCACTCTACCACTAAGCCACATTCCCAGCCCCTATAATACCTTTATGTAGTTTAGTCTTCAAGTCATGTGTACAAACAAAAATTTGTTTCAGGTTGGGCCCACTGAAGATTTGGTTTTTGGTTATGGTTTGAATACCTTTTCCTGCGTTTGAATAGTGATAATGAATTAGAGGATTTAATGTTGGAAGACAGGGCCTGGCATGGTGACTTATACATCCACTTAGAGGGCTGGGAAGGTAGCTCAGCAGTAGAGTGCATGCCTTGCAAGCATGAGGCCCTGGGTTCGATTCCTCAGCACCACATAAACAGAAAAAGCCGGAAGTGGCGCTGTGGCTCCAGTGGTAGAGCACTAGCCTTGAGCTGAAGAGCTGAGGGACAGCGCCCAGACCCAGAGTTCAGGCCCCATGACCGGCAAAAAACAAAAAACAAACAAAAAAAATACATCCACTTAGAGCTACTTGTGAGGTGGAAATTGTGAATATCACAGTTTAAGACCTGCCTAGGCAAAAAGTCAAATAATAAGCTAGGTGTGGTTTTGTACACTTGTGATCTCAGCTATGCAAGAGGCATAGATAAGAAGACCCACAGTCTTGAGATTGGGGTCCAGTCTGAAAAGTGACTAACGCAAAAAAGAACTGGATTTGGGTCTGATACTATTAATAATTAGCTGAAGCCAAATAAAAGTAATTACTTCCTTGAGTGTTGGTCCTTTTAAATTCTTGCTGTGGAGAATCAGTTACTGCTATTGTGATGTTTCTTTTGGTTCTATGATTCTTAGAATTCTAAAAGTTAGCAGTCTCCATTTTCTCTTAGGTTTTTGAACCTTCCCTCTTAATGTGTGCCTTGTCCCTTCTGTCTTTGCCATACCTCTTCCCACCCTGCTTTTCCCTTGTCATCAAACTAAAATTGGAGAGTCTGTAAAATATTATTTTGTGATTTTGTTTTGTTACAGTATAAGCTGTAACCATGACTACCGAAGTTGGCTCTGCATCTGAAGTAAGAGACTCTGACCAATTGGGAGCAGATGCAATCAAGGAGAAAGCTAAAGAAGTAGCAGAAAATCAGAGAAATCTGTCATCTGAGCCCGAAGAGGAAAAACCATCGCCTACAGCTGAAAGCCAAAGTAGTCCACGCCGCCGTAAGAGAGAGAAAGATCCATCTGAGAGCAGGGGTATTTCTCGGTTCATTCCCCCGTGGCTTAAGAAACAGAAGTCATATAACTTAGTAGTGGCCAAAGATGGAGGAGATAAAAAAGAATCTACCCAAGCTGTTATGGAAGAACAAATCTTAGATAAAGAGGATTCCCTTCCATTAGAAGAGAGACGGGCTAAGGGTGATGCTGAAGAAACGGTTCAGAGGAAGCATCAAGAGGTTAAGGTGGAGGTGAAGGAAGAAAAGCCTTCTGTGAGCAGTGCTGAGACACAGGTGTGTGAGAGGCTTGTTATTGAGAACCACATAGGGCAAAGGTCTTAAAAAAATACCATTTCTAGATGTCTTCTGTTGAGATCGTGCTTTGGCTCAATGAGTCTGGAATATAGGTCTTGGATTGCTCTACTATAGACTTCCTGTCATTTCTTTAAAAAAAACATTTCCAAAATAATAAAGCAAAACATTTACCATATTTATAAATATAAAACTATTAAGAAGTTCTCGTGGCTTCCTGTTTCTGACTTCTGTACGTTCTTTTAAACAGGATACTCTTTGATTTATTTAAGAATTCAGTGGGGTGTAAGTAAATTATATGTGTATATTTTGGTTATCTAATGGAGCCTAGCTTTTGCTATGGTATGAGATTTTATTCACTTCAAATTCTGTTATTTGAATGATACTTAACTTGTTGTTGTGGGATGCAGGTTCTTGTATTCATTTAATTCCTGAATTACCTGCCTGGTAAAAGTGGATAGAGGATAAAGAAAAATATCCTTTGTAGTATAAATTACAATTACTTTAAAACCTTAGGCTTGTAGTGGTTATAATCATAACTTAAAAATATTTTTGTGGTATTGTTTTGAATTTGTACTTGCTAGGCAGGTACAGTACTACTTGAAGTGTATACCTTAGCCTCTTTTGTTTTAGCTTATTTTTTAGGTGGGAGTGTTGTTTTGGCTTGGAATTGGTCTTAGACTATGATCCTCCTGTACCTATGCCTTCCACATAGTTAGGATTACAAGTGTATACCACCTCCCCTGGTTTGTTTGATGAGGTGAATGTCGAACCATTTTTGTTTGGGTTGTCTTTGAGCCATAATTCTTTTAAGTAGCTGGGATTATAGGCATGAGCTACTGTGTCTGCCCCACAAGGTCCCATTCCCCCCAGGTTAGCTGTTTAATTTGAGTTTGCCTGGAATGTGTTGTGTAACTAAGGCTGACCTCTTAAACTCATTATCCTTCTGCTGTAACCTCCCAAGCGCTGGGGATCCTAGATTAATACTACTACTACAGCTCTTATTCACAATTTTCCTTTTGGAAAATACCTAGCATGTATAAGGCTCTGGATTTGATGCCTAGCATAGCAAAAAAACTCCAAAAGAGCTGGGTGCTTGTGACATCCCTATAATCCTAACTATTCTAGAGAATGAGATATGGAAATTGGGGTATCAGCCCTGGCAGAAAAGTCTTACCGTCTAATTAATCAGCAAAAGCTGGAAATAGAGGGGTGGCTTAAGTGGTAGAGCACCAGCCTTGAGTGAAAAAGCTAAGTGTGGAAGTGCATACCCTAAGTTCAAGCGCCAGTGCTGGCATAAAACCAAAAACAGCAAAAGAGATTTTCTTTTTGATTGTTAACTTTTTCAGTTTGGTTAGCTTTTTCATGAACTTGATTTTTTTTTTTCCTCGATAGCCTGCTGAAGAAGTAAAGGAGGAGAAAGAAGAGGAGAAGGTTAAGGAAATACAGATTGACAAATCTGAAGGAGAAGCAGCAAAAAGGGAGACCAAGGAAGTGCAGACCAATGAGCTGAAGGCGGAGAAGGCTTCCCTGAAAGCTACCAAGAAGACCAAAACTGTACAGTGTAAAGTGACTCTCCTAGATGGCAGTGAATACACTTGTGATCTGGAGGTGAGACAGGTTGCTGAATGGAGAGGAGAGCTCTCTGGATGTGTGGCATGAAAGTAATCTCTTCTTCTTTTTGGCACAGTACAGTGAATATAGTTCCTGTATACCAGTCTGTTGTAAATTTGCATTTAAACAGCAGCAATATAGAATCAGTCATTCAAGATAAGCATTGATGGTTTCTGCCAGTGTGTACTCACTGCTCATGTATACTGTGCTATGATTGTTCTGAATGGGCATTAAGCATTCAAATAGTATTTCTAGATATGGGATCCTTTACTTGAGAAATAAAATTCATTTTTTTAAAGTGCCATTGGATTTGAACTTGTTTGGCTTGCTTCCTTGGCACTTGAACCATATCTCTAGCCAATTTTTTGCTGATTAATTGGAGATATGTACTTGCATACAATCCTGTATATGTTTACTTGTACATTTATAAATTAGTTTTAGCTTATATATGAGAGAAAATGTGTTCTTTGTCTCTCTGGGCCTTACTTACTTAATTTAATATTTTTCTCCCTTAGGTCTATAGATTTTTTGCAAATGATGTAATATATTTTTTTCTAATGGAGGAGTAAAATTCCATTATGTATATATACCACATTTTCTTGATCCATTTGTCCACTGAGGGGCATCTGGGCTGTTTCTGTTCCTTGGCTGTGGTGAATAGTGTAGCAACCAACATGGTTGTGCACACGACTTTATTGTATTCTGATTTGTAATCTTTTGGATAAATGCCCAAGAGTATGGTATTGCTGGATCATAGGGTATGTTTAGATTTTTGAGGAATCTCCATACTGTTTTCCAGAGTGATTAAGCAAGTTTGCATTCCTATGAACAGTGTAGTAGTAGGGTTCCTTTACCCCCCACATCCCACACTAACATCTGTTGTTTATATTCTTGATGATGGCCATTTTGACCTGGGTGAGATGGAATTTCAATGTTTTTTTAATTCACATTTTCTTAATGGCCAAAGATGTTGAGCATTTCTTCATGTCTTTTGGTCCTATTTACTTCTGAGAAGACTATTTAGCTTGTTTACTCATTTGTTAATTGAGTTTTTGATTATTTCATGGCTTAGTTTCTTCAGCTCTTTGCATATTCTGGATATGAGACTATTGTATGATGTGTAGCTTTTCAGCTTGTATGTCCTTTGCTGTGAAGAAACTTCTTGAAGACTTTTTCATAAATTACTTTTCTCAATTACTTTTAGCTTATGTCTTAAAGTTGTTTCCTTCTTTCCTTCTGGAAAAGCCTGGATAGATTAGGGATTGTCTATTGTAGACTTTGCCTTTAAAAGCTGTCATTGTTTTTGTGAAGAAAAGACTGTGAGGAAAGACTGAGAGTTGGAAGTAGTTTTTGTTGTTTGAATCATTGATTTGATTTCATTATACTTATGGTCCCCTTTTTTTCTTGATTAAATTTTAGTCATTCACATTTTTGGTGTAAATAGTTTATTTCATCTAATTTGACAAGTTGATTTGCATGAAGCTTTTCCTAGTATTCTCATCTTAGGCATTCCGTTTTGATTTCTCTTAGTTTCTAGTGCTATTTACATTTTCTCTTGATAACCAACAACTTGGTTTTGTTATTATTTCTTATATCTTTCCTATTTTGTAACATTATGTTTCTTTTTATTTTTCTTTTCAAGATTACCTGCTCTCGAGTTTAATATTTAAACAATTGTTTTTATGGTTCTAATTTTCCCTTCAAATACATTTTGTTGATTGCATTGATTTGAAATGTAGTGCTTTTATAGCCTCTTAGTTCATATTACTTTTTTATTATAGTTTTTGCCCTGGGAATTTACATGCACAGCGCTTGCTTGCGTGCGTGCGTGTGTGTGTGTTTATGTGTGTGTGTGTGTGTGTGTGTGCGCGCGCGCGCGTGCATGTGTGTGTGTGTGTGTGCTTCTTTTATTTTCTTTTTGTATTTAGGCTTAAATTCAGAGTCTTGAACTTGCTAGGTAAGTGCTCTACCATGGAAATGGAATTTGGAAACTTTTTATTTATGCTGCCCATGGCAGATATTTTTAGGCCATACCCTTACCTGAATTCTAAGTAGGGATTCATATTTGAGCATCAGAAATAATCAGTATCCTTATAGTTATTATAATAGTGTAAAAGTTCTAAATTGCATTCACTTTTGTGATGAGTGCTCCCTTTAAGTTTCCTTCCCAGTTTGGTTTTCTACTGGTTTAGTATCATTAGTTTGGATCTGCTACTCATCAGACCTGCTCTATTTCCCCTTCAGCAGTGTGGAGTCCAGAGGATAGCCATCATGTGACTCAGTGCTCTCCTGCTTCCCTGTTCTAGTACTGGCCTTAGATAGATTGGGTGATGTGCTGAAGCTGCTTATCTGTGTTTCTGTTGCTCCACTCCGGAAATCAGTGTCTGAGTACTATTTGTGAAACTGTGTTGTGATAAACAGTAGCTATTAGTGAATTTGTGAGCTTTCAAGGAAGGCTAAGTACGGTCTGAGAAATAAATACTTTGGTTTGGGAGAATAGATTTGTTTCAATTCATTTATTGCCACTAAAGATTTTTTTTCTTGTCTCTTTTTATATGAGTGCTGGTACTTTTTTTTCCCCAAATAAATAGTGTCTAATTTTTAATCAAAGATTATATGGCATGCTCACTGAAGGAGAACTTAATTATCTTCATTTATGACAATTACAACAATAGAGAAGAAGCCATAAGCAACATAACTTCTGCAGAAAGTTGTGTGAAGATAGAATGGCCTGATTTATTATATACCTTTTGGAATAAGGATAGTCTAGAAAACCCCAAATGAAAGTTTGAGATTAAAACTAATCTGTACAACAAAAATGGAACTGGAAGTATTGATCCAGAGGCTGTAAAGTTATTGGTATATAAGATCTAGTGAGGCCATGATGCTGTTTATATTCAGAATATGTTAAGTAGCTGTACAACTGTAGTAACTCATCAGGGACTTCTTAATTCACCACCTTGGTTAAGCTACACATGGGTATTTTTATAGACCAGAAAGCTTCAGGTTTATAGCCAGGCATCTGTGTCCTAAAGCCACTGTCTCAAATGAGAAAAGAAGAGGCAAACCACTGTTGTCTCCTAGTCTTATATTTGGCTTTTTTTTTTTTGTCGGTCATGGGGTTTGAATTCTGGGCCTGGGCGCTGTCCCTCAGCTCTTCAGCTCAAGGCTAGCGCTCTATCACCTGAGCCACAGCGCCACTTCCGGTTTTCTGAGTAGTTTATTGGAGATATGAGTCTCATGGCCTTTCCTGCCCTTGAACCGAGATCTTCAGATCTCAGCCTCCTGAGTAGCTAGGATTTACAAACGTGAACCACCAGCGCCCAGTTGGATCTCAGACTTTTTTGAGAAACACTTTATTTTGAATGTTATGTATTTATTTTTGGTGCTGAGTTTTGAACTTGGAGCTTTCACTTTCTAGGTAAACACTCCACTGCTTTAGCCAGGGCTATAGTCCTCTTTGCTTTTATTATTTTTCAAATAATGTCCCAACTTTTATGCCTGGGCCAACTTGACCATAATCATCTTTATACTTGCTTTGTACACTTGTAGCTGGGATGATAGGCATAGAACACTATGCCTAACTTTTATTGTTGAGATATGGAGTCTTAAGAACATTTTGTTTGGGCTCTCCTGAAACTGTAATCTTAAGACCTCTCCAGAGTAGGATTACAGGTATGTTACTGCGCTCACCCAGAATTGTTTTATATGTATAAAAATTTACATTTCTGTTATTTGACATTTTTTGAGTTATTAAGGATATGTGACAAGCTACATTGGTATCCCAGTTTAAATTGTGAAGGATTTTAATTAATCTCCTCAATTTTGTATTCTGACAACCAGGAATTTAGGACTCTTGGCAATATAGCTGTTGGAGGAATTTATATCCTTGATGTAGTAAACCAGTGGGACTTGCTTCTCTAAAGTATGGGAAGATTTAGCTGAAGCTAAGGATATAAAGTCAGGACATCTATGTTTACTTTTCTTTTGACTCTTTGTATGTCTTGGGAAAGTCACTTCCTGTCTTTTCTTCTATTCTCAGATTGCAAAGTAAGAATGAAAATATTTGCTTCCTCTATTTCTAGGACTTAGCTAGTTTTATTACAACTGATAGGTGTGTATGTTTTAAGTCTGAAAATAAGCCTGAAAACCTCTGAGCTTCTGTAAGCATAAGTGAATGTACATTGTAAGTTAGAGTCAGTCACATTTTTGTTTAGCATCTGAAAGCTGTTCCTACATTTTTTTTTGTCTGAGAATTGAGGGCATTGTTTTTGTCCACATAGGAATGTCAGATGTCAGAACCGCCCCCCTTTTTTTCTTAGTTATGAATAAACCCATCGTAATGTCAGGTTTTTTTTCATCAGTGTTCTGATGATTCAAGTATTAAACAGAAAGCAGAATGTATCAATTCTTTTGTTGTGTTCTGGGGTTGGAAATAAAATTTGATAGCTTTACCTTCTAACGTGTTTTCTGTATTTGCCTGTTTAATTTGCTCCCCCAAAATATGCTTTTCAAGCTGACCCACGTTTTCTTGTAAAATAATTTCAACTATATATTTATAGAGGATCTGGAAACTATAACTGTAAAATCTCATAAAACAGTGACAGATTTATATTATGATTTAAGAATTGGTAGTAATTTAACTGGCATATATTATCTGTAATTTAAAATTTAAGTGACAGAGGCCCAGTTGGAATGTCTCTGCCAAGCTGTCTATCCATCTATCCCTTTGGCTTAAAAAAAAAAATTCAACGGGGCTGGGAAGGTGGCTCAGTGGTAGAGCGCTTGCCTTGCATGCCTGAGACCCTGGGTTCGATTCCCAGCACCACATAAGCAAAAAGAAAAAAGCCGGAAGTGGTGCTGTGGCTCAAGTGGTAGAGCACTAGCCTTGAGCTGAAGAGCTGAGGGACAGTGCTCAGGCCCAGAGCTCAGGCCCCACGACCGGACCCAAAAAAAAAAAAAAAAAAAATTCAAAATTTAAAGTGGCAGCTCTGTCC